CCACCATCACCATCACCACCATCACCACCACCACCACCACCACCATCACCATCACCACCACCATCACCATCACCATCACCACCACCACCACCATCACCATCACCACCACCATCACCACCACCACTACAACAACAACAACTACTACTACTACTACTACTACTACTACTACTACTGCTACTACCTCCTCCCTTTCCCCCTTTCTCTTTCCTCCCTTCTCCTCCCCCATCGTCTCCCCATCTCCTTCCCAATCTCCCTTCTCCTCCTCCTCCTCCTCCTCCTTCCCTCACACCTTGATCTCCTCGCTTCTAGCAGGCCGGACTGTCTCCTGAGAGATTCCTGACCACGGTATATGAAGACGACATGTGGGACAAGAGAGTATCAGAGGAACACCGCATGGTACTGTGACCGTCTCTCCCTTTCATCTACTTTTTCTCCTCCCCCTTCTTCTCCCCTCTCTCCGCTTCTTCCTCCTTTTCTTCTCCACCTTTCCCTCCCTCCCTCCCTCTGACGGACAGCAGGTGTACATGCCGCCCTATAGCGACATGTCACTGGGGATGAGGCAGCAGGAGGAGGTGGAGAGAATGCGATTTTCGCTACGAGCAGAGCAAAATTTCAATCCAGCTGAACACAATCTTGCTGGAATGGTGGGCGGAGCTGTTCAATACGAGGTAAGTCAACTCTCCCCTCCTCTACCCCTACAAAACTTGTGTCCGTCCATTGTCTCTCCTACTCTCGCCCCTTCCCTCGTCTTACTCCTTGGCGCGCCGCTCCATCATTTGACACTGCTGTTCGTACTTCTTCCCCACCTTCCTTCACCTGCTCCCTTCAACCCTCCCCTGTGTATCTAATTCTCCCCTCCTCTCACTTAATCTTCCAGCAGCTTCCTGAAGGCGATACATCCCAGCCTCAAAGGATGGTGAATTTCTCTCTTACCAACCATCTCCTCCACCACCGCGAACCTTATCTCCCTCCATCCCTTCCTCATCTATCCCCCGACGTGCACTATGAGGCTGGTCAGCACGGAAGGTCCAAGTCGTCTCCTCCGTCTCCTCCCTTAAATGGTGGAGCTCTGGAAGCTGGCAGGGGGTGGGGGGTCAAGGAGGAGCAAGAAAGCGGGAGCAGGGAAGGAGATCAAGCACAAGAGGCTGGCGGATCTTCATGGGATAGCGTGGGAGTAGCCCGAGGACAAGGTGACCAAGAGTCCTCTGATGGGGATCACGATCCTGACAAGCACGACAGGAGGAAGAGGCGGGGAAGGAGGAGGAGAAAGTCCGTGTTATGCAGAAGTGATCTCGTCCGCCTTCACTCCCGATGTTGAGCTTCAAGAGGCCGTGGACATCGAAGGACGCCTCAACTATGGCAGCCATGAAGCGCAGGAAGGCGTTGTAAGCTTCTCTCCCCTTCCCCCATGTCCCACCGCCCTCATGTCTCCTTCAGCAAGCTCCTCACCTACTCTGTCACAAGCTCGATTTCACCTCTCCCTCCCTCCCTCCCTCCCTCCCTCCCTCCCTCCCTCCTTCCCTGCCTGCCTGCCTGCCTGCCTCTTCTCTTCCTCCGTCCGTCCATCCTCCCTCTCCCGCTCGCTCGCTCCCTCCGCCGCTCCTCTCTCTCCTCACGATTCTTGTGGCAGGAGATGTCTGCGGTGACTCCAACCACGAAGATTGTCAGCTCTGACATCAACAATCCTCTAGGTTAGTTGCGCTTCCTGCTCCCTCACTCGTTCCAAGCCTCCCGGCTCCCTCCTTCTTTCCTTCTCCCTTCCTCCCATCATGCTCCCGAGTCCCAGGATCACCCATCCCCCTTCTTCTGGGCCTCATCCTCTCTCAGCAGGAACTCCCCGTCTCAGCTCACAGTCAGCAACCCCCTCGGCTGGGCCTAGCACGGCAGAGAAGAGCACCAGTTCTTCTTGTTGTATTTTGACTCCGATTGTGAATTTACATACTTGATCACATCTTAGCCACCTGCCAGAGCCTCGAGCTACTGAAAAAGTTTCTCCGGCCAGCACTGTCCATAGTCACCACAGTTCCGGGCCCTCCGGACCGTGACACGCTGGAAGTCTTGAACGTGACCGGGTGACTGAAAGAAGAGACTCGTACCACGGTGAAACCATAAAACCACTGCATGACATGGAATGACGGTCAGCTGCGCCTGCCATCTGAGGAAGGGACTAGTAGGATGACCTGACTTTTAAAAGTTTATCATATTGATTCGGAGCCCGAGGGCTCGGTTCGATCCGCTCGGTAAAACCCGAGGGCGTCCCCGGCCGAGTTTCGTGCGCTCAAAACTGTAAGGACTTGGACTGTGAGTAAATCTTTGTGGTACAAGATGCCGGGGCTGGGGTCAGAATTTGCAGCTACTAACCAGGCTGGACGTGACTCAGCGGACTGTCCCGATGGGTGGGTACTTTACTTAAGTTGACCCTTGTTGAATGGGGGTGGGGGTGGGGATCAAGGGAATTAAAAAAAAAAGGGAGTTGTGGGAGTCTGAGCGGGGAAGGGTGCTCGGCACCTGAGGAGGTGGGGTTATGATTAGCGACGTGTGACCTTGAGATACAACGATTGATATGAGTCACGTTCATTTTGGGTTGTGAAAGTACTCCTTTTAGATTTCTTTATTATGTATTTATTCGCTATTAAGATTATCAGATAGCGATCCTAGTTTACAGACCTTTGCTTCTGATTTTTTTTGTTTCCGGACCCCCCTCCGCCCCGCCCCCCCTCAACCCAATTATGGCTCTTTTTTGAAATATTCCCCTACAGTGACCCTTCTTACAAGTGCTTCAACAACCGGTGGCAGATTTGTGCCTCACTACCCCTACCCCCTCAGTTTCCACATATGGTCACGAGACATGACGAAGAGGTCAACCGACAACCATGTTATACCCGTACTCCCTTAGTATTACAGGTAGGGTACTACCCCTCACCTGCCTTTCCTCGATCTTGTACCTCCCTTGCCCTCGCTACCCCATGTTCCAATCACTACCCTACCCCTGGTTGTAAGATGCTTTGCGAAAGTGGGCACCCCCACCCTGAGGGGTGAATTCAGATCGAAACGTTTCGAAGACCCCTACTGGGGAAAAAAAGAAACATACAACCAATCACCCCTGTGGTCACCAGCAGTACCCTCATGTTGGACCCTGAATGACCCACCCATAGTGCTGATTTCCTCTGGGAATGACCCCACCGGTTGCCAGCACCACCTTCTTCCCTGCACCGCTGACTTCACCCCACCTCCTTCTAGTAAACCTTTTTCCCTGCAGCGGCGATCATGTTGTCCCTGTTTCTAAATTTTCAATATTTTTCTCGGTATATATTCAAATGTTAGATAATATATTGACCATTTGCCAAACCTAGGGTCCTGAATTTTTCCCTACCCACCACAGATGCAACCACGCCTTTCAATCTGAACACCACTTCACCCCTTCACTTTACCGCAAAGTCCCTGGACCCCTCGTATCTCTTAAATGGCCCCACCCCTCTTCTAAACTTTTCCCACCCCTTCCTCCGGCTGTTTTGATTTACTATTCACCTTCAACTCTACGACAACCCTACCTCACGCACGTCTTCTCCCGGAGACCCACCTACCCACCCACTTATCATTACAGCCTTTTGAAGCATCTCGACCGGTTGGACCCCGTACAGAGCACTTGCATAGAATACGACCCCTGTTTTCTACAGGTATTGCGTGTTAAATCCAGGGTACCAGGACCAACATTGTTATCTTAACCCCCGGTAATCCCATGTCCTTATAGCACTACCCCCTCCCACCCATGATGACCCCACCCTATTGGGGTCGTCATCCTTGCCGCAGTGCGGCTTGATAAAACCACCTCCCCATGCTCTCCGAATGTCGCGCTCTGTCGCTCGCGTCCATGCTCGATCCCCTCCCGCCCCTCCTCCTCATTTTCTTTCGTTGACTCTTCCAGGTCCTCTATCTCATGTGCTGTTGTCCATTGGTCCCCTGCTGCCTCGTTTCACTTCCTTACTTGCCCGTCTGCCTTCTTCTCTTCCCGACGGGTTGCAATCACTACAACTTCGATGCCGTCATCCTGCCCCCTGCTCCTGCACATAACTCTTATCGCTATCACTCATCCTCTCATCCCATTCAACCTTGCTGCTTGCATCCGAATGTTCTGTTGTTGCATGCCCCAATATTAAGATACAAGATCCTGCAGCTGTGCGCAATTTCAACCTAATCCTTCTCATCTTGTATCACGTAACACATTGATTCTTCCTTCAGCATGAGTTCAATGCGCTTTGAACTGTTTCTGAGCTAGTAATCCGAGTTCTTTACATCAATCATGATATTGTCTCAAACAGCATTCGAGTAATGTCGTCGTTACAGGTTACTGCATCGAATTGGAGACAAAAGCGTTGCAAATTTTGTCGCTATTTGTATCATTTCCTGGTTCCATCTATTAAGATATGAGAATCTGCTGCCATATGACATCGTCGACAAGCAGCAACCTCTGTCATTGATCCGAGGATTCCAGGAGGTGATTGGAATGAAGAAAGACATAAGCAGGTCGTCATGGCAAGATAACCAGATGCTCCGAGAGGCTCAGAATCAAAACAAGACAAACGTTCACTTGATAGAATCTTATCCCCATGATACACACACATTTGAAGCCCAGAATACATACAGTGAGTGCTCCATAGTGAGTTGTGTTGGTTGTCACTGATCTTGTTGTTATTTCAGTTGGTTTGCCAAGCAACAATCACAGTGTTCCCATGAATACAAACCATTTCAATCATCTAGGGATGCAGAATCACTCAGATGGAGTTAACCCAAGGAGTGCATGGAGGGACTATCATTGGTCACATACAGTATATGGTGTCCAACCGAGCGGCGTGGGGGGTGGAGAGGAAGCTGGGTACTTGCAGGTATGCAGCCGGCCTCCAAGCGAGCGCTGGTTTATGTTTGCGTCACTCAGCTATCGTGTGCCAGGCTGGAGATGAAAAGCGAGGGAGGGGCCGGCCGAGAGGGTCCAAGGACAAGAGGCCACGAAGGAAACGTCCAGCAGGGGAGAGCTTGCAGCGAACGTCGTCGGGTGGTATGCTTGTGCCATCGCTTAGCGGGTATGGCTCACACTTGTCTTCAGAGGGACCTTCGAGGTTGTCTTCGGGGGGAGGGTCGGGGGGAGGATCATTTTCTCGGCTGCAAAGTGTGGACACTGATGAAGGCTTCTTGAGCGCCGGCGATGGGCACCCGGTAAGAGGAGCTTGCTGTTTGCGTTGACATTGCTTTGCTGAGATTTGACTTTCCCAAGGATTCGGTCAGGAAGAGGGGAAGGCCAAAGGGATCAAAAGACACAAAACCGAGAGTGCGTCGTATTGAGAAAGGTGCAAGGAGGTCGGACATGGAATCTCCACCAGAGGGAGCAAACGTGGAGGCAGAGGTCGCGGCCCCCGAGAATCTCTCGGCATCCTCAAGGGTTCGCGAGTTGTCTTTGCACACTCGAGGAGCAGGGAGCATGGGAGCAGATGTCAGTATACCCGCAAACGGCCTTCAGTCCAAAGGACAAGTCGGCGGTCATTTGAATCACAGAGACTTGAACACAAAATCCATGAATGCTCCCTGGTCAGAAGGGCATTCTGTTGCACATAAACCAAGTATGTCGCAAAAGCTCCTCAATCAATCTGGTCATGTAAGTTTGCCGTGCTATGTCTGGTGTGTTCATGTGAATGATTGTTTGAATGCAGTTGGACCCGATGCGCATTCAAGAGGCATTTGCGAATCAACCCCACATCGCGTATGTACACCAAGGCCAGATACCAGAGCCTTCGCTGGACCCAACGGCTTCTTTCAAGAACGAAGAGTCTCCATGCAGACCGGCAAGGGACAACGACAACATGCTGACTTCGAGCTCCTGGGAGGCGGGCTCACCCCTCCTCAACCATCTGAATATCGGGGAGATCGGGCGAGAGATTCTAAAGTCCGCCGAGTCCACTGAAAGCATCGAAAACTGGTCGCCAGTGCTGCCAGAGGACGTGACGCTGCCGCTCGTTGCCGGGATGGCCCCGTTCGATCCCATAGCAGAGGGTTAAGAAGCTGTCTCAATACCGATAAACTCGATGTAAAGTAAATCGTTTAGCTCGGCTAATTTTTCAATAACCCGAGCTGGTTCACCTTGTTTCTTGGAAGACTTTGATCATCGCAGGACAGAAGCTGAGCGCTGTGAAGCGAAGCGCCGTCGGTTTTATTCTGAAGCAACGGGAGGAAATGTGGAGGGTTCGGTAGGAAGGGGGCAACGAGTTACCAGGTAGTAGAGCAAGTCAAAGTCACCTCTAGGAGGGGATCAAAGTGTTATAAACATCAAGGAAACAATATTTCTTCTATACGAGCCCTGGGCTGGGCATCTATACATACATCGCAAGACAACCAGCGGAGCCTCAAGCAGCGAGGTAGGAGGGCTCTACTTGCATGGGATCCGGACGAGACAAGAGATTGACTTCCTGCACATAGGGCATCAGCTAGAGTAGGAGAAGCACAAGAGAGGGCTACAAGCATCTCCGAGGGAGCAAGCGGATGGTTATAGGCAACGAGGACAGACAGATGGAAAGGATGGAAGGGATCGCCCCTCTGTTCTGCATGTCAGACCCTTGTAAAGTTCCTTCCTCTCTTCACCAGCGACTGGACATAAAGGGAGGCGGGGCCTGAGCCCCTGTCGATGGTAAACTGCCAGGCAGAGTGAGGACAGGAAACAGGGGGGACGGAGAACAAGCACATCTCGGAAGAAGCGACCGGTCCGAGCACAATAGATTCGGACAACACTCTCCTGATTGAGAAAACAAGTCAAACAGTTTCTTCTCATCTCCTGCCTCTCCTTCCTGAGCCCTCCCCTCCCTCCTTCTCTCATTCTCTCCCCACTGACGTCTGGATCTCTCCTTTTCCTTCCTCAACTCTCTCGCTCCTCTTCATCCACTCTCCGCATCTGCCCCGTGACTTCATAGATACATCCACACACCTCACAAGATCCTGATATGATGTAATCTGATCCGTTCATGTAGTAGCTCCTTGTGTAGTTGTGCTCGCTGCCGAGAGCTACCGCACAGCAAGTCAAAAGTCACCTATGTACCAGCTCGCGTCGCTTTCCCTCCCATCCTCACATAGAATGTCGAACTTCATGGTCAGCCGCCCATCTACCGCCATGTATTGGCGAACTTCGTTGTCCACCGCAGAGCTCAACAGGTACCGATCATCAGGGGAGAAGCACACCATGACGTTTCCTGTCACAAATTACAAATCAAAAGACCACTTGAAGGAGTCAAGAATCGCAGACCTTGATCACTCCTGCACGTGAAGATAGGCCTGTTGGCACCTTCTCGCAGATCCCACATCTTGACATCTCTGCTTGTCATGTCAGCCAACTTTCACTGTGAGGACGAGGGGGCGTTTGCTCACTTGTCGAAGGAAGACGTTGCAAACAGTGAAGGTGAGAAATTCGCGAACTTCAACACGTTGATATGTTGAGAATGAAGGGACTTGAACGTCTGGATCTTCTTGCCGACCTGACAGCACTGACAGTCAACCAAAGCATGGTAGCAAGAAGGTCAACCTTCAGGTCGTACAGCGCCACGTCATTGCTGTAGCCACTGACCAAGAACTTGTCGTCGAGGCAATCGATGTGAAGAGAAGTGAGATGCTCGAAGTTTTCATACCTGCAGCACAACAACAATCAGTTGACACCTCTCAGCGCACTGACAGCTCTACTTGTAGATGGTCGGGGCCCGGCTGTGCTTCATCAGGTTCACGTCATACAGCTGAATGTTCCCGCTATCGCTCCCGGAGATGAGAAGCCCGTCGTTGAGGCGAAGCCAGCACAATCCAAGGATGCTGTGTGGAGGCCCCGCGGCGGTCGCCTGCCCAAGGATGGACCCAGTGAAGTGGTTGAGGACTATCACCTCGCCATTGACTGTCCCTATGACGAGCTCCTCGGGTTTCGTCGGATGGTACTCGAACTGCCGAGGCCGGAGGTGCGACGGAGCGATCATTCTTGTCGAGGGCTGGGCACCGGGCGGCTGCCGGCAAGCGCACATGCTCCGCACGAAGGTGGAGGGATGGCAGATGAGCTCTCCCGTGCTAATAGAAGACATGCTATGATCTGAACATCTCTTCACCTGACCAGCAGCGGCAGGAGACGATAAGCTGGCCGGGGCTTCACTGTCGGTCGTCAGCGATGAGCTCAGCGGTCTTCTATCCGCGCTATTCAGACCCAACTCTCTCATCCGCATCAGAAGTGTGCAATTAATGGGACGCAGCCTGTTGTAAGCAAACTTCTCAAACTTGGAGAGGAAAACTTTCCTCGCCTCTGCCCTCTCCGTGTTTGAAATCCTTCGCTTGTCCAAAGTCTCCAACCAAGGCATCTGCAAGCGCGATGCAAGTCAGCATAAGACACATCACGCAACAAGCGCTGACACCTGGGCAATGATGTACTCCCTATAATGCCTCTCAGAGCAAAGGAGATTCACATGGAACAGATCTGGGATCACCCCATCGTGCAAGAAATTTGCGAAGGTTTCTCGTTCATCGGCATCCACAGACACTGAGATGGTTCTCCTCGGCTCTTCGACGACATTCAGTGTTGCCATGCCTGCATCCACCAGGTCGTTCAGCTCCTCGTCCTGATCGTCCTCTTGGCCAGTTGGCAAGCTGACGTTTTCGTCCGTCTGCGCATTTGCGGTGTAGGAGATCGCATCAGTGTCGCGGCTCTCCACAGCCGAGCGCTCCGTTGGGCTCCGGGAATGACCTCTGATGGGCTCTTCATGCTCTAAACGATCTTCGAAGGGAACAAAGTCTCTCAACCTTCCTATCAAAGCATCTGCACCATCGGAATCCTGCGAAAATCCATCTTCGACCATGTCGTCCGTATGAATATTGTAATCGTTGGATCTTTCTAGGAATCGAACAGCAAAGGGAAAAATGTTCTCCTCCATCTCCGCCGAACTGTCCCTAAAGCCACGTCGATTACTCTGAAAGTGCAAGTGTCTCAAATTAGTCAAGTGTGAAATCGCAGCAAAGGCCTTTGGGAGGTTGCTCAGTGCTGTGGAACACAGCGAAAGGCTCACTAGTGAAGTGCACTCTGAAAAAATTTCCGGTGACAAATTGTTCTGCAATGGATTCCAATCTAAGATCAAAGTTTGCAATCCAGGCATCGGAGGCAGTGCCTGAAGCTTCTTGATACGATTTCCGCTAACTGACAAGAACTTGATCGATTCCAGTCCATCTGGTGACATTTTCTGTATTGCTTCCCCTATCTTGTTTCTGTCCAGCAGGAGCTCTTCAACGGTCCCAATCTTGTTGATGATTTCACCAAGAGCCACAGCACCTTCTCCACTGATCTCGTTATAGGAAAGATCAATCTTTGTAATATGCAGCTCACTGCACGAATCAAAGTGAAAGTTTTGGATGCTCCGGGCAAACAAGATTATGTCCACATCTCTGAGATTGCACTCCGAAAAGTTCAGCGTCTGCCTGTCAGGAGCCCTGTGAGCGCTCCGAATGCATTTCTGGATGCTGGAAACAATGCTTACGTTGGCCACGACCGACTCCCCCTCGCAGACCGTGGAGTAAAGTTGCAGCAGCAACCTGAGCTGCTTCCGGGCTAGTGTCACCCCGTCATAGACAAGCTGTGCTTGAGAGCATGAGATTCTCTTGTCCTCAGCTATGATGATAGCTTGCCCATCAAACCTCTTGATCGTTGTTACACTTTCAAGGTCGCGGACCTTCACATAATCCCCTTCATAGGCTGGGACCATGCTCCCATCCTCGTCGGCGATCAGATTGTTGTCCACTGCGTTTGAAGCAGCAGTCCTTGAAGTGTTCGAAGACGAAGAGTTCCCCATGACTTGAATCTTAACAATCTCAAGTGCTTTTTACAAGATGAGACGCACAACAAGGTTGCATGTGTAGTAATCATAAGGATTCTTCACATGCAAAGAAAACATTTGTCCATATGATGAAGCCGTCATTGATTTTGATCAATTACATTGTATCTTCGAGATCATTGTGTTGGTTGTGTACAAACACATCTACAAAGGAAGTCAACAAGACAAGAAAACTTGCGGTCGACAAAATTTCAGAAGGCAATACCAAAGTTGCTTCACCTATCGTCAAACCATCTTATCTCATATTTTTTCTATCATATATCGCCATGTCCGAACACTATAGCCTCGACTTTCCTTTCTCTCCCCTGTGCTTGACTGCCTGAACCCGCTCTCTCAAACTCACGGTCTTGCCTCTACCATTCAAGATCCTGCGACAGCTTGGAATGTTATTCGCTCACATTCAACTTTCCTCTGCTACCATGATCTCCTCTCCCTCAAGAATCTTGCTCCTTCTCCTCTCCTCCTCTCCTCCTCTCCTCCTCTCCTCCTCTCCTCCTCTCCTCCTCTCCTCCAGCACTACTGCTCACCACTTCAACAAACTTGCTGGAAGAAATGGACCAACTCAAGCCCTCTGCAACTACCCCCACCCCCTTCATTTCACATCTCGGACGATCAAATCCTCTAAAATACCGGTCAATTGTGCGTAAATATACCCCTTCTCTTATACCCTACCACCTATTTCACAACCCCAGTTTCACTACCCTCCGAAATTAGAGGAAAAAATTCAGTACCCCTACGCACACCACCCTCACCCTTCCTTTGTCGGTTGGGCCCAGTGAAAACGAGGTAGCAATGAGTACCCGTACCCCCTCATTTACACCACCCTTCGATAGCTTGCTAGGATCGTACAAACGACAGAGGGGTACATCCGGCGCAATATGGGTTTGATGAGGTTCGCAGGACAGTCACAGTCAGTGACCGTACTCAGTGTCAGTCCGTCCGGACATGATCCAGTAGCCACCGGGCCCCCGATGGCCGGTGCCGGTGCCGGTCCCGGCCGGGCCGGGCCGCCCGGCCTCGCCGGGGCCCGCGGCCGTGAGTTTACAGCCTCATATGGCAACTCTAGGGACAAAGATTTTGTCCCCAGCAGGAACAAACATTTTGAGGCACAAAAGACCAAGGTACAAAGATTGTACAAAGATTGTCCTGAAACCCGAGGCCGCGTTGAAGCCGCAAGAGGCCTCGGATCTTCAGCTTATCTCCCATGAACGCCATCATCGTCCGAGTCCATCCCAGGAGGAAACGCGTGCGGGCATCAGCCCCCGTAGAACAACGGGAGTCTGAACAACAACGAGTCACTCGAGAGGTACATCTGGTCCCTTCCTCGCTACAGACCTTGTTCCACCTTCCTCAAGCAAGAGCTGCCTCGTCGCTGGTAAAACATTTGCTGCTTCCGTGTGGCACCTCAGCCTGAGAGGGACTCGGATGGCAAACTAACTTGTGGCGGCAGGGGCTGTCGCTGACGGCGCTAAAGAGTGCATGCCGGCGGCTTGGGATAGCGCGATGGCCGTATGGCCGAGGCGATCGAAGAATGAGAGGAGATTTCACCATATCACATCCAGTAGGCGAGGAAGTCAACTCGGTTGATAGAGGAACAAGAAATGAGCAGCAGCAGCAGCAAGAGCAGCAGCAAGAGCAGCAGCAAGAGCAGCAAGAGCAGCAGCAAGAGCACCAGCAAGAGCACCAGCAAGAGCACCAGCAAGAGCACCAGCAAGAGCACCAGCGCCAGCAGCACCAGCGCCAGCAGCACCAGCACCAGCACCAGCACCAGCACCAGCACCAGCACCAGCACCAGCACCAGCACCAGCAGGTAGAGAAAAGCAGGAAGGAGGACAAGGAGATAGGGCTGGATCCGGACTGGATCGAGTGGTTCGTCACGGTGCGTGGAGAAGGGGGGTTAGAGTGAAGGGAAACAAGAGAAATGTGGGTATTGCTGCATTCTTGGGTGCAGCTTAGTAGGAATGATTTGAGTGTAAGTTTCCAAACTTGTCATATGATTGAAGATCCCTCTCGGTATGCTTACGCTGCCAGTTTCTTCCTAACACCCGCATGGCTTCTTTCACGCCATGCTCCTGAGACGATCTTTGCACGCTCTTGATGTAAAACATACTGCGAGTCAAAATTGTCTTGCATCTCTGCAGCTATCTCCCGTGCTCATCTGAGAGTTGATGTTAAGTTACAGAAGGCTCTACACGAGAGGAAGGAACATTGAGGCATTGATGAACAATCTCGTCCATACAGACCGACAGGGAAATAAATTTATTACTGTGACAATCGAGGAGGGCAGGGTTGCGATCTTGTAACATGTTGAAGGGCAAGGCGGCATAGATACAAGCAGGTCTCTCCGAGCCAAGAAGCATCCTCTGGTGACCTTCTTCGTTGAGCATATGGGCTCCTGCTCCTGCTGTGGATTGCGCGGGGACTCACATGGACCGGTTAATGCTGACTCGGAGGCTGTGCCTGATCGGATGCAGGCCACCCTCCGGTCTACGTGGTACACATCCCTGGTCTGCGCACTCTCGTCGACTCGTGTCACGAGCACTTCATTCCTCCCCCTGCACAGCGCAATGTGACTCCTCTTGTCATGCGGGTGTTTCCTCGCCACGTCCATGCTCGTGCTGCGCTTACCGATCAGCAGCGTGATACCCTCACCTTGCACAGCCGCAGGATCGGACGTGCTCGCTCAAGTCGCAGGATAGGGTCTTGCAGTCCACCACTGTGTTCGCCCATCTTCCTGAGCGGTCAGACCTGAGCCACCGCCACGCTGCGATGCGAGAGTCGAGCTACTACTATGATCCCCTATCATGTTCTCAGATGCCCGTTACTCTGAGGCGGACTTGGATGGTCATTTGTTGGATGATGAGGCGCAAGGTAGGCGAAACTGAAGGCGAGAGAGCAGGAGGGAGAAAGAAGAGAAGAGAAGATGGAGATGGAGAAGAGCGAAGAAGGAGAGGCAGGAGAGTCAATCTCAATGAATCTCAGGAGAGATGAATCTCAGGAGAGATTCATTCATTGAGATTGAGCGAGAGAGAGGAGAGGGGGAGAGAGAGAAAAGAGGGTGAGAGGAGAGGGACCATGAATCTCAACAGATGGCTCTCACAATCCGTCATTCATCAAGATTCTGCTGAAGTGCGTCAAATCGTGTGAACGATGAAGACGGCAGTGCTGCTCTGCCTGCTTGTCCTTAAGCTTATCCTTGCTGGAGGAAGTTCGATAAGAGAGAATCTTCTCAGTCAAGATGTCGTTGCGTTGTTCTCTCTCGATGAAGAGGAGGAGGTGGCGGAGCTGCAAGTTTTCGTGGAGGATAAAACTACAGGCGAAGTGTTCCCATACTCAAGTGGAAGGATTGAGCTCTGGAGGGAGAACCATGCGCTGATGATGAATGTCAGTGACACGAGCGAGCTCAGCGTGTCCGTCAGACACTCAAACACCTACCTGTGGGCATCGGTGTACGATGACAAGGGAAACTGGATCGCTGAGAGCAATGTCCTGCATACTGGGTTCCGAGCAGGTGTGAGGACGATGATCCATGAGGCAGTGAGCAACGCTGTGTGGGTGGACGGGGATCAGATACACTTTGATGTGCTGATAGAGCTACTCGAAGACTTCGAGTCGTTCATGATCAGCAAGGGTGTCATCGTGATTGACAACCAGACAGTCGGCATGATGAGCATCGAACATACATTCGATCGCTCCAACCCATCAGGAACGTTCACATACCATCATCATGGAGAGGTCAAGTCCTTTCTTCGTTCTCCTGCTTCTGACCAGCTATCCTGCAAGGTGGAAGTAGGTAGGCACACACTCTCCATAGCGCTGCTGTACCCTGGGCAGGGAACGCCCTGTGCTCTGTCGCCGCAGGTGAAACAATAAGCTGTAGGGGAAGACATTGACGAGCTTCATGCGGCAGTTGTGGTTTGAAGTCCGAGCAAAGAGCCTGGAAAGATTGGAGTTTGAGAGTGAGCAGATCATCAAGGCAGACACTAGCTTCATCGATGAGAACTGTGTGAACGAATTTGTTGCTTGCGTTGTGAAGGTAAACTCGCTCCCTCCCTCCTCTCCTCCCTCCTCTCCTCCTTTCCGTGCCTCCTTCCCTTCCTCGCTCTCTCCCTCCTTTCCCCACACTCCCTCTCTCACTCCTCTCTCTCCTATCCCTGCAAGGCACGATCTAACAAGTGGTCAGCGAGAGGCTAAAATCCCTCCAAATCGTCAGTACACGGAAGTTCTCGATGGCGCAGATTTCTGTTTCTCAAGCCTCTGCGAGCACTTCCAGGCACGGGAGGATCGAGAGCTCGTGAGCAGCTGGGCACAAGAGCTCGACGTTCTCCTGACTGATTGGCTCGGCAGATTTTCAAAACCTTAACGGACAGGTCGATGCAGGAGGCGATGACCCTTCACTTCTCCGCCATCTTGCAAGGATTCAAGGCACGAGCTCATCTTCCTTCCTCTCTGTCTCCCGTCACTTTCCCTGACTTTCCCCTGTGGTCGTCATCCTCCTCCTCCTTCGCTCCCTCCCCCTCCCCTGCTGTTCACCCTGCTCATTTATTGCCTATCTCTGCTTTCTCCGTGCCTCCCCACCCGCTCCTGCTTCCCCTTTCTCCCTTCTCATCTCATGCACAAGGTTGAGCGTCTTGAACAGGTCAGCGAGAACTTTCTGCGAGCAGGACGGGCCCTCCAGTGTATTGGGCAACTGAAGTAAGTGAGGAGGAGGGAACGAGATTTGGTTCACTCCTGGGAAGAGGAAGGAGGTGAAGAGAAAGGAGGGAGAGGAGGAGGGCGATAGGGCAGGATGGGAGGAAGAGAGGAGGAGAATCAACTGAGCTTTGAGCAAGGATGGCCTTGAAAGCCTATCGCACCGTCATGAGGCTGGTCGGATACTCAAGCAGACCGCTGACCAAGGCACAGTGCACGTATCCAGGTAAATGAGAAACATGAAGAAGAGTGAAGAGGGCGCGGGGCGTAGGAGGAAGAGGAGAAGGAGGAGCGGAGGAGGAAGCGGAGAGCGGAGGATGGGCAGGAGGAGGGGAAATGAGGAAGGGAAAGGAGCAGGAGGAGAGGAGGAAGGGTCACGATGCTGCAGGTTGTAATGAAATCAGCAAGGACACTTGTAACATTATGAACCGATTGCTGCATCAGATGGTACAGTCTCGCGCCTTCCTTAGACCTGAAACACCCTTTCTCCTTCTGCTCCTCTCCCTACCTCACCTTTGCCTCTCCTTCTCATTCTTCTATCCCTTGGTTGCTTCTCCTCCGTCTCCTCTCCCTTGCATGTCCTTGTTTCCATGATCTCCTTCTCTCTCTTGCCTGATGTCCTTCCACTCCCGTCTGCCACGTTTCACCTTTGCCGAGGGATTTGCGAGCGATGACGTCATCACAGCAGGACCTCAGCTCAGACTTCTCACCGGGAGGGGCCGCAAACTCCTCAGAGTCGTTCAGATCCTACAAGTCCCACCTGAGGTGAAGCCTTGCATGCTTGTCATGTGCTGCTGACTGATCCTGGTGGCAGCGACATCCTCCCTCCTTCCTCCTGCTCGTCTTCATCCTCGTCCTCCTGCTCCTCCTCGTCTGCTCTGCACATTCCAAAGTCGGGCCACTCCCCTAGCGATAGTTAGTCGCTTGACAAGACCTTACTGGCAGGCATATCTTGCGATACAACCTTGACGACATTGTGTTTTGCTGCTTGACAACTGCGACGACTTACAGGTTTGTGCGATGATGAAGCGCACTAGCGCACAGACAATGGAGACTGACATTTGTCCTTCTCTTTTCTCTCCTTATCCAACCCCTCCCCACTTCTCCTGCTCTCTCCCCTGTCGTCTCGTCTCTCCCCTCTCTCTCCTCTCATTTCTCTTTCTGACCTCCTCCATCCTCTGTTTCCTTTTCTCTCCCTCCACCTCCTTCAGATCGCGAGCTGGTATCGTGGCAAGCACCTGGTGGCCGCACGCGAGGTTCCGCTACTTCTACGGGGACAAGGAGGATGCAGACTTGCCGGTGACGGAGTTCACGATCGTCAAGGAGCTGAAGGAGAAGAGCGAAGATGCCAGGTTGCTGTTGCTGTTGTTGTTGTTGCTGCTGCTGCTGTTGCTGTTGTTGTTGTTGTTGTTGTTGCTGTTGTTGTTGTTGTTGTTGTTGTTGTTGTTGTTGTTGTTGTTGTTGTTGTTGTGGGAGCAGGAGGAAGACAAGGAGGAGCAGGGGCAGGAGCAGGCGGAAGAGAAGCAGGAGGACCGAACGGAAGTGGAGGGAGGGAAGAGGGTTTAGAAGGGAAACGATCATGATCATAGAAAAAAGGAGTTAGGAGGTAGCGGTTGACCAAGATGAGTGCAGGTATCTATGGGAAGAGATCATGGCGGCTGATTATGCCTCGTCACTCCCGAAGTTCTTCATGGCGTTGCTTGATATGTGATTTCATTTCTACTTGACCCTCCTCCCTCCTCCCTCCTCCCTCCTCCCTCCTCCCTCTTCCCTCCTCCCTCCTCTCTCCTCCTCTTTCGTCTTCCCTCCTCGCCCTCCCTCTAAAAACCTGCATGACTCCTCTGTTCCTCCTTCCTCCTTCCTCCTTCGTATTATCTCTGCTCACGCCCTTCCCTCTCTCGAACCAACGTTGCCGCCCCTCCGCATCGATCTTCCTTTCTTTCCTCCTCACGGCATTTTCAGGTACACGAGGCATCCCAATGCCTCCTGGTTCTTCCTCGGAGGAGACGACAACTTCGTGGTGAGCACCACCTGAAGCTGCAGCTCTGTTCTCCTCCTCCCCCTCCATCCTCTTGTCCTCCCCCTCAACCCTCCACAGGTGCCCGTCAACCTGCTGCATCAGCTGCAGCCCCTCAATGCGGATGAGAAACTGGTGCTCCTGCCCTCCACTTGCTGCTGCTGCTGCTGCTGCTGCTGCTGCTGCTGTTGCTTCTCCTCTTGCTCCTCCTGCTCTTGCTCCTCTACCACCACCTCCTCCTCTACCAACACCTCCTCAATCCTCCTCCTTCCTCCACTCCTTTCCTTTCCCTTTCCCTTCCTGCTCCTCCTCCCCCTGCTCCTCCTCCTGCTCCTCCTCTCCATCCATTTTCTTGACCTTCCTGCTCCCCATCCCACTTTCTTGCGATCACTTCAGTCCTCCTCTTCCTCTTTGACTTTACTGTAGGTGGTCGGAGGACCTCTGGGGCATCACCTGGGAGTCGGAAATTATCTGTCGGGAGGCTCAGGTAGTGGAGGAGGAGCGAGGAGGGACAAAGAAGGTGGAAGGAAGGGAGATGAGAGGGGGGAGGAAGGGAGATCAGGGAGTACATCTCGAGAAGAGGGACGGGAGCAGGGGCCTGGAGAGAAGGAAGGGAAGGGGAGGGAGGAGAGATATGGACGAGGGCGAGGGCGAGGGCGAGGACGAGGACGAGGACGAGGACGAGGACGAGGACGAGGACGAGGACGAGGACGAGGACGAGGCGGAGGAGGAGGAGGAGGGGGGGGAGGAGGAGGAGGAGGAGGGACTGATTTGTCTTCAGGCATAGTGTTTTCCCGCGGCTTCATGCTCGCCACCTACAGGAAGCTGATCCCCTTCACCGTCTCCTGGAGAAGGGTCAGTGGGGGGTGGGGTGAGGAGGGAGGGGCAGGGAGCTGGAGGAGGAGGATGAAGCACGGGGAAGGGAATGAGAAAGGGGAAGAGAAGGAGAAGCAGAGGGAACTGAAGTTTGTCGTGAGCAGGTGCGGGGGAAGCACATGCTCTGCCATCCCTGTGCAGACGTTGCTTTCGGTTTTCTCGCTAACGACGTGGGGGCGAAGATGGTGAGGAGGAAGAGGGATGGGAGAAGGAGGAGGATAGCAGGTCGAGAATGGTGTGATTGAGGGGCGAAAGCTTTTGCTGGCGGGGAGGGGGCGCGGGGGGAAGCAAAAGGAGCAGAGAGGAGGAGGAGGATAAAAGGAGATGTTGTATCTCTATTCACTGAGTCTTATTCCTCTTTAGGTTGAGATCCCCTGCATGCATGGCATGTGGCCGGAATACTTCGCGCTCCACTCGACCCGCCACGTTCCCGGCTGCCTATCGGTACCCTCCACTTTCCCCTTCCTGCTTCCTTCCTTCCTTTCCCTCCGTCACTTTGGTTCCCAAACACATCTTTCCCCTCCTCCTCCCTGCGACCCCCCCCGCTCCTCCTTTCCGCCCGTTTCTGCTTTCCGCTCCCTCATTCTGCTTCAGCGTGCAAGGGTTCGGTACCCCCAGATCTCCTGCGACCGGTACTGCACACCTGGCGATGAGCTGGGGGGGCAGCTGAGGAAGGACATCTGACTGTGACTTGCAGGCCGGCTAGTTTTCATTACCTTCAGCCTCGAGCGCTGAAGTTTCTCTCCTCCTTCTTCTTCGATCCTGAATAGAGACTGAAACCAGCTCTCTTCCCCTTCCCCCCCCCTGCTCCTCCTCCTCTCTTCCTCCTCCTCCTCTCTTCCTCCTCCTCCTCCTCCTCTGCCCCTTCTCTCGGGAAGCCAGAGAGTCCCCTAGGCCCCCACCCCTCCTTCCTCCTTCCTGCTCCTTGCTCCTCCTTGGGTTCTCTTCCGCCGATTCTTCACATGGAACTCGTCCCCACTGTCCCCCAGCGTCTCCATCAACGGCCTTCCCTTCTTCTGCACACGCGCGATCGCTTCCATGTCCTCCTGATCCAGCTCGATCTCCAGCGCCCTCCTCTTCTCCTCCACATGCAGCTTCCCCTTCATCCCCATCCTCGTCCCCACGATCACGCTGGCCACTCCCTCCTGCTGCAGGGCCCAGCGCATCGCCACGACAGGCATGCTGACCCCCTTCCTCTCCGCCACCCGCCGAAGCACATCCAGCAGCTCTTGAAGAAGTTCCCAGCTCCCCCACAGCTGGATCCAGCGCAAGTACTTCCTGAGCTGACTCGTCTCAAGCTCCACCGCCTTGGGCTCCTCCACCCCCACCCACCGCTCGCTCAGGAAGCCTCCAAGGAGGGTCCCGTGCGCGAACATGGCGATATTGTGCCTCCTGCAGACCTCCAGCATTCTCCCGTCCACCGCCCGCGTGTCCACGATGGACAGGGAGAGCTGGACTGCCTCGACCCGCACTCCAGCCTCCACCACCTCCTCCACGTGCTGCGAGTCGAAGCCCGTCAGCGCGATCCCCCGCATCTCCCCCACCTCCACAAGACGCTGGGCGTTCAGGAGGGAGCTGACGTAGTTGGACTTATCAAAGTCCCACCAGTAGAAGTGAACGAGGTCGAGACGCCCTCCCCGCGCCCGGGAGGCGGGAAGGAGGGCCTGTCTGACCTGCTCCTCGCTCAACCCGCTCGAACCAGTCGGGATCAACTTGGTGTTGAACACACATGCTGCAGCAGCAGCTCTGTTCCTCTCACAGTAGGTGGCGATCGCCTCCTCCGCCATGCCATACACCAGAGCCGAGTCGAAGGTGTTGAACCCTCTCCGCACCAGCTGCTCCATGTCTTCAACTACATCCCCCAGGCGCGGCATCCAGTACCCCTCCCCGTTCCCCATCCTCGACGTCTTGGGGGAGAGCTGTAGCATGCCAATCTGCAGGCGGCAAACTTTCATGCCGTTGCCGAGCTCGACGTAGGCGTCTGCTGGTAGCCTCCAGCTCGGCTCTTGCTGGAGGAAGAGGAGGGGGAAGCCGAGGAGGAAAGAGAACAAGAACCGACGGGGGACAGCCTGAGTCCCAGCATGATGCAGCACACGATGTGCTGGGCTGTTGCTCTGACAGAGGAGAGGAGGGGTTCTGGAGCGGCACCATGAGCTCGGAATACGGGACAACTTGATTGGCGATTTGGAGGGAACGAAGTCAAGCATGTCAACCTGCAGAGCAGAGAAGGGAGATGTCAAGAATCGCAATCATCCTCCCTCCCTCACTCCCTGCCTCCCTCCCTGCCTCCTTCCATCCATCCATCCATCCATCCATCCATCCATCCATCCATCCATCCCTTCCTCCCTCCCTCCCTCCCTCCCCTAGCCATACAACTCGCACTTGTGTGTAGACCGGATAAAAAGATTCTCCCAGTGTAAAACCCTCCAACAGCCGCATCCAATGCCGCCATGACGGCGACGGATGCTCGGGCGATCTTGTCGCTTGCCTCGCTCCTTCTGTCCCTCCTCCTCCTCCCACTCCTCCTCCTCCTCCTGCTACCATCCACCCCTAACAGCCATAGCGTCAGCGCCCTCTTCGCCCTCCTCCACCCGGTGAAGCTCCTCCTGCCCTACTTTGTGGTAACTTTGCTGCTGCCAGGGTTTCTACCAGACCGCAGATGCCGCGAAGAGAGTCTACGTGAACTGCGATGATGGCTCAGACGAGAGCGGCGACGGGAGCAAGATGCTGCCATGGCGAACTTTGACGCGCGCAAGGGACGAGATAAGAAGATTCCAGCGCCGGTTTGCCGTCGAGGTTCTCGTCCAAGGGACTTGCCTCCCCAGGGACCAGCATGGGAGGGTTGACTTTGCTCTTCCCCTTCTCGAGCTCGAGCATGTCGACAGCGGGAGCGAGGGGAGACCGATCGAGTATGCGAGCCAGCACCCCCACCGCCCCGCCCTCCTCTCATCTGGCCTGCGTATCCCTCACTCAGCATGGAGGCGGCTGGTGGGAGAAATCTTCACTGCCAACTTGACTGCCGTGAGCCTGCACGGGGGTATCCCTTCCTCTTGTCTGACAGCTGAGGTGCAGCTGGGAGTCTCGAGGGAGAGTTTGGGGTCGTTCTTGAAGCCCACGTCGACAGGTGGGAGCGAGGGGGTGCGGGGGTGGGGGGGGAGGGGGGAGGCGGGGAGCAGACGTGACATGTGCTTCACCTGCCAGGAGGAGATGGGCTGGGAAACTGCACTTGGAACATGACCGAGCTGTTCTTCGGAGGGAACTGATCAGAGTCTCTCACACGGCGGAGTGATTGTGATTGTGCAGGACCCCAATGACGTTGGCGAGGTACCCGAATGTCAACAAGGACGGGACGTGAGTGGCGACATGTCGCATGTTCGACATGGAGGTCTGACGTCAGCGATCAGCTTCGGATGGATGCAGATCGAGAGAGTCCTGAACGACCAGACTGAGTTCTCGATCGCATCATTAAGGGCGAAGAGATGGCGGACGGAGAAGGACGTGTGGATCCACGGGTAGAGAGAGAGAGAGAGAGAGAAGGGGGGGGGGGAGGGAAAGGAGGTGCGGTTTCAGGTGATGTGGGATATTCTAGGTACTGGGGCTTCGATTGGGCCGATTCTCATCTTCCTGTGCGAAGTTTGCAGTTCTGTAAGCTTCAAACTTTTCTCGGCTCCTCAGGGGTTGACCGCAACATGTTGCTGTAGCCAGCAATGAAACTTTTGTCTCCGTCGGCGCGCCTGTGATCTATGGATTCAAGGTGTTTGCGTTTGCGTTTGCGTTTGCGTTTGCGTTAGTTTTCGTGTTTGTGTTGTTTTACATGCAATGACCCGATGATGCCTCGTTGCTCTTCGTTTTCCTGTTCTGTCGATGACATCTTATGACGAGGCAGTGAAGGAGTGTTTGTGAGACTTTCCTCTATGACTTTGCTGAAATGGTCTCTATTGCAGCCCAGGGCAAAATTTTACGCAGTCAACCTCAAATCGGAGCTTGATTCGCCCGGAGAATATTTCATAGACAAGTGACAAGCACGTTTGACGATGACATGGATTCATTGCTGCTGTGCAGGGAAGCGATGCTCTTGTACTTCTGGCCGCCGGGTGATCTTCACAGTCAGGAGGTGAATGAAAAATCTCATGTTGTTGAACATCTCACATGATCTTGGACCTTCGTGCTCTTGGGACTTGTGATGTGGTACAGGCTGTGTTGAGTATGGGACATGACGGAATTCTGATCGGAGCAAACCACGTGAGAAAGATATGATCTCGTAAGATTCAACCTTCTTGGTGCGCTGAGGTTGCTTTCAGGATCAAGTGAATGACTGTAAGAAGAAGATTGAGCAAGTCAAGGAAGGCACAACGAGCGGAGGCGGAGGAATCAATGCTTTCAGCGATTACATGGTTGAGAGTACTGCAGGATATGTTTGACAGTGACGAGACCTGCGCAGGCAAACAAAGAAAGGCAGAAGAAGATTTTCGCATCTTGTTTGGGAGAGCCCGCAGGGAAAACCTCGCATATCACCTTCAAGGTTTGCATTCGTTGCTGTTTGTGGCGGAATGGACCAAAATGTGTTCTCACATGGGGAGCAGAACATTCAAATTTCGTATCAACGACGAGCGGCAGTCCAAGTACAGATGTGCCATGCTGGGAGATTGCCTCGTATGAAGATGATGGCAGATATCAAGAGCGTCTCATATCCGCATCATCAACGTCAGTGTCTCAAACATCGGCAAGACTGTAAGTCCCTGTTGTTGACAGCTACCATCACTTGACCTCACCGCAGGGGATGGACGTCGATGGAAGGTGTTGTTGTGGGACTTGCAAGCTCGATGTGAAGTCGACACCAGCGACATTCTCATCTCCTCGACCAACGTCTCCTTCTGCGGATGCGGAGGGATCGCTCTCAACGGAGGGAACACAACCTCCCTCACGAGATCGAACAACGAGATCGAGGTTAACTGACTTTCTTCTGCCCACTCCCTGCATTCGCGAGTAGCAAGGCTTGTAGAAGAGCAGAAAGGCAAACACGCCTGCAGATACACCGACTGTCAGTCTGCCAGTCAGCCAGCCAGCCAGCCAGCCAGCCAGCCAGCCAGCCAGCCAGTCAGTCTGCCAGCCAGCCAGTCAGTCTGCCAGTCAGGCAGGCAGTCAGTCAGTCAGGAGCCCTTCGGCGCCATAGAGGGGTGAAAGTTACCAGCACCTCTTCTAATTATTTTCATTTCACAGCTCGCGGACATCCACAACTTCGCTCGTATCCGCCGATCATACACGCCAGGCATCGGATGGAGAGGAGGAGGGCATTCAATAAGGCAGTCTCACATTCATCACGCTCCTCACTCTGGCATCCTTGGCCTTGGAAACGATTGTGAGTTTGACGGCAATATCTTCGAGGTAGCACGACCCCATCCCTTCCTCCTCCCCCTCCCTCCTCCTCCTCCTCCCTTTCCTCCTCCTCTTCGTTATCCTCCTCTTCCTTATCCTCCTCATCTTCATCCTCATCCTCGAGCTTCAACGCCTCCCTCTGCTTATGATACTGTCATCACCATAAAGCATCTACTTTGCTCACCCCTCTCGGCCATCAGCAACACTTCATCTCGATGTTTATTCCTTCCATTCTTCGTGATTGCCTTCAAACTTGTCTTCTGTTTCCAACATTTTTTTTCACTCCTTCCCACCAGTCGCTGGCGTTCGAGGCAACGGACACAGGTGCCTGGTACTCAGGAAGAAGTTGGATAAATAGAGGAAATATCATCAGCAGAAACAGGTTGAAATTTCTAATCTTCCTGATTGTTTACATCCTGATACATACTTTTCCTTCCTCCTCCTGCCTTCTCGCCCGTGCCTCCTCTTTGCTTCTCTCCCTCCTCCCTCCTCCCTCCCTCCTCATCTCTCTGTCCTCCTTTCGTATCCATTCCTCCATCTTATTCCATGGCTCTTTTCAGATTCGTTAAGATTCGCAATACTGTCGGGATGAATCTTGGTTTCCCAGCGGTCAGAAAGTTGAGCCACTTGGCGAGCGTGACGAGCCGGCAGGTGATGGGGATATACCTCGACGACATGCTGTCTGGAATTTCCATCACCAACAACTCTTTCGAGGACGTTCAGGTGCAGCCGAGCACGAATCAGAGGAACAGAGTAGACTGAAGCACAACGAGGGGGGGGGCGAAGGGAAGGAAGGGAAGGGGAAGGAAGGGGAGGGAAGGGGAGAGAGGGTAGCAAGGAGGATGGTGAAGATCGTTTGAACGTTCAGGTCGGTGTGTTCGTGGGAGGAAGTCGCGATGTCTCGATCGTTTCCAATCGCTTCTTCAACGTCTCGCAAGCTGGCGTCAAGATCGACGACCGCGGGCTCAATTGGAGGAGCGACATTTGCAGGTTCCGCTGTCTCCTCCTCTCCCCGTGTCAGCTGATGTTCCTTCTTGCCCTTCCCCCCTCCCCCCAACAGGTTCGACTCAAACTTCACTGGACTTCTAGCCCAGCAGCTTCTGGACGTGAACTTCCTGTTCCCTCCTTTCGCGACGTCGTATCCCTCCCTCCCTCCCACGCTCAGCCTCTCCCCGTGATCTTGTCTTGCTCGTCCTCCCCGACGCTTACCGGCTTGCAGATGTTCTCCTGTCCTTCTCCACATCCTCAACAACAAGTTCTGCAAGCGGCTTAACAGCAGCGAGCAGTTTATCGACGCTCCTCAACATGTACGAAACGGGAAGGAGGGAGAGCAGGGGAAAGAAAGACTGGGGAGGGGAAAGCGGAAGGAGCAGGGTAGGAGGGAGGCAGGGAAGGAGGGAGGCAGGGAGGAGGAGGGTGAAGGTGAGTGATCACGATGTACAGGTAATCAAGGATCCGCTGAATGTTATAACGATGAATTCGTTTGCATGTTGAAGCTTGTTGACCATTTTTGATTCTTTTCAGACTGAATAAATATAGACTGGGACACCGTAAGAAAAAGAATTTCGATCCTACAACAAAGTGAAGTCAGGCACACAAAGACAGAAAGAATGAGGCCATAATCTCCAACAAAATCAACAAACACACCAACAAAGTCAAGACACCAACAATCAGCGACAGCAGCAATTACAACATACACAAGGGGTAACCACTGCGTGGTCTCTTCATCATCACCTGCCAGGACATCGGGAGGTACAACGTGTCACTCAATTTCAATCTTCTCAGCCTCTTGTCAGAGATTCGTTTCAAGGACGCGACCTGGCATCAAGTCATCGATCCCAGAGTGAACCCAACACGCTCACCATCCTGATCGACGGGTTTGCGTCAAGTTTGTGCCCAATGTCATCCACAATCTGTACATGTCTGATCACAACGTTTGAACAGCACCCGAAACAACCGACAACCGCTTCTGGCCATGTCAGATTCGCCATGTAGACATGAGTAGTACGGTCCATGCTGATCTGTGGAGGGTCACTTCCGATCTGAGGAGAGAGGGAACGTCGAAGAAAATCAAGATACAGGGGAATCAGCAGATTCTGGAATTTCCGCTCACCTTGTTGCAATCAGCATGAACCAGTTGCATCTCTTTGTTCCCCTGCAAAATGTCAACTCCATCTCGATTTACTGCATCGTCATCGTCATCGTCGTCGTCATCATCATCGTCGTCGTCATCATCATCATCATCATCATCATCATCATCATCATCATCATCATCATCATCATCATCATCATCATCATCATCATCATCATCTCCTAGTCCTCCTCAAACGTCTTCTTATCGCGATCAACTCCATCATCATTACAATGGACATCATCTTCGTCATCATAGAATTCTCACCCATCGAATCATCAAGGACGGTGAGTTGCATCCCGGTTGATCTTGCAACCAAGAGCTCACTGCATCGTTCTGCACATCAACAAGTTTCACGTCTTTCGCATCTCACTCCACATCCGAGCTCTTCCTGTTGCAGCAAGTTGAGGACCTTGACTAGCCGCTCCGCCGCTGCTTTCGCCTGTCGATCGATACCATTAGCCTTGACAATACCATAAGGTACGTTGCATGAAGCACAAGTGAAGAATACAACCGTACATCACGAGTAAACAAACATCTCTTATCACACAAATCCCAACTTCTTCACCTGATTGTGACGAGTGACAGAAAGCTCGACGCCGATCGCGCCCTTGCATTCCGAGCCCATGAAGGCAAAGGCGACAGACTTGCCAAGACCTGAGCCAAGATCGCAGAATACAGAGCTCGCGTCCAACTTCATGTACTGCCAGTGAAGTTAGATGTTCTTCCTCCTCCTTTTCAGAGCTGTTCTACCTCAATCAGAGCTTGAAACCCGTCCATCTCTATCTCTCCGTACGCCCAGTGCCCCCCTGACTCGAGGATCTCTTCCTCCTCCTCCTCGCTGATACTTCCATACGAGTCTGTCCCGCAGTAGACGGCGTCTTCGCACAGCAAATCATCTTCCGTCTCTCCTGTACAACCTTCACTCACCGATAATCTGCTTCGACAATCTCTTTTCTCGTGCCGTCCTATCCGCGGCAATATCCGCTTGGAAGGAGCACGTGGCAACGGATGGCCCATCTGCTTTGAAGCTCAACGATCAACTGGCAGTTTCAGAGACGATGTCGTACAGGTTTGTATTGCATAACCAGCTACCATTGTCATCCCTCCTGCAAGTAAAAACTTCCGCGGCAACCATTGACCTGTCCTACCGTGATTGAGTAACTTGGATCTTTTGCAGAAATCTCTTGCTGCTCACCACTGAGAGAGAAGTGAGACATTCGTGCTGCCCCGTAGAGATTGACACCTGTAAATTATTATTCTGGACTCAAAAAATCATCATCAAGTGGATGAGTTTGGACCAAGTATTAATCACCAACACTGAAAGATCATTCGCTTTCACGATTAAAATAGCTCGAGATCATATCACATCATGATGACATAATCGTGTTGCATCACATTGGGTTTCGTCTACACATTTTGATCTGCTTCATTGCCATCATTACCTTCTCTGGCGCTTCGCATGAACGCACCACAGGCCCGCCAAGGACGCATTAGTAGTCGCATCGCATGCAAGAACTACTGCTAGCGCCAGCGCTGGCCCGGTCAGGGGCCCGGTGCAGGCCCGGTGCTCTTTAATTATGATATGAGGGCGATGATACTTTCTTAGTTTTGGTAACGGTCACAGATTTCGTAACGTATAGTCGAAGGGTCATCGGAATGCTGTCGCAGCTGTTTCAGAGTGAGCCGCTATGGGACACGTGGTTCAAGACAAGCAAGGTGAATGCACTTATCAATGCTCAATCATATCCATCAATCATCACAAACATTCGTCTCGTGAATCAATCATCTCGAGCACTTATCTCAAGCACTCATCTGGATCATCACATCTGTAGCAATCATCCGAATCCATCCAAGCGTTCATCTCAATCAATCAAGACTATAATGAATTGCAAGCCATTCATCTTTTTCCCTTCCCCTGTTTCTGCTTCCTCTGCATGTCCCGTAATCCTCTCAATCGTTCTTGATGAATTTCTTTTCCATTCTTCCTTTCTGTTTCCCTTCGTTATTACTACTATCCGTATCTCGTCCCCATTCCCATTTTTTGTTGTTGCATACAAGTTTTGCCAGCATTCAAAATATCGAATATAGTCTGTTCTGTTCGGAATCTGGCATTCAAGACAAGCTATTGCATCATATTTTTAGTTCAGCTATTGCATCGTATGTTTAGTTTAGTGTCATTGTATTGCCTAGAATTCTGTACCTTCTTACCATGTATTTGTCGTCAAGTTCTCCTTGACTGCAAGATCTGTCACGATGGAATCACGTTCATACTCCTGTGTTCACTCTTGCTTGTTTCACAGGGTGGAAACTCCGTTCTTGCGAAGGCAGAGGCGCTCGCAGCTGCAAAGCAGCACAAAGCGTGAGTTTGGACACTTTTATCTCACGTACCCAAAATTGATTTTCGGTGTAGTCATAGCGTTCAGAGTGGATCCGCGATGAGCTGGGGAAAACCAAGCAACTGCTGGTTCAATCAACAGTAAGTGCTTCCAGTTACCAGGAATACATAACCTAACGTGTGCTTCGAAAGGTCGTGCATGGACTGGATGTAAGTCCACAATGATTATAGATTGATGGTCATATTCAGAAGACTTTTACTCTATCAACAGCAAATGTTAATTAAATAGCCTAGAAAACATATGATCGCTTGCTCGAAAAGCACCCTGTCTTGAATAGCGCGGTTCCAATTCTCTGGGGAGAAAACATCAGCTCAGGGCCAAGGCTTCTTCCGGTAGCAGCAGTGTGACTCAACATGAGTAATCTGATGTCGTACTGACGACATAACAATGTGGACTGCAGTGCTGGGCAATTTTCCTCAGGGGAGATACTTCTGGAAGACAGAAATCTTCTTGACAATGAAATCTGTCTTGGATAACTCCCTCCTTTTGAAGGCCGCATTCAACTCTTCTATCTGGAATGAAGATGTAAGCCTGAAGGAAAAAGCTGCATTCGATCAAACTTCTTTTTGAAGCTCTTCGGGCACCGCTCCTGACGGTAAAGCCTGTCTCCTGGTTTCAAACAATTCCTCTTCCTCGGTACTCAATCCAGAGGCAGTCTTCAAGTCCTGAAAATCCCATAGGGAGAGATGTTAGCTCCCATCGAAATTCAAGCACTCAAAAACTACCTTGACTTCTGACTTGTACTTCACTCCGCATTTGTTCTGATCGTCGGAATCTCTCATAGTTCTTGAAGTCTCTGCCAGTTTGATGTCATTGAACGTAAGGAGCGAGCATCACGAGGGGAGGAGTTCTCAAAAACAAAATGATTTGTTTCACATCCTGAATTGGCCAATTTCAAGACAGACGAGATCAGTGCGCATCGGAGTCGGAAATCTGCTGAGTCTTCTCACTTCCTCCTGTGCATAACTATTCCAGGACATTCGCTTCGCCACTAAATCTTCAAATGATCTACATTGAGGGGCAAGGGGAAGGGACTACATTGGCTCCCCCTCCCCCTCCCCCTCCCCCTCCCCCTCCCTGCCTCTTCCTCTCTCCTCTTCCCTCACGATCCCCCTCCCCCTCCCCCTCCCCCTCCCTGCCTCTTCCTCTCTCGTCTTCCCTCACGCTCCCCCTAGAAATGAAAGGCCCT